TGAGGTCCAGCTCCGAGGGCCTTCTGGTGGTTCCCTCCCTGCGAGAAGCCAAGTTACAGGGAACCAGGCAGAGGGCCTCCTCGGTGGTGGCGCCCGCCCTGTGGAACGCTCTCCCACCAGATGTCAAAGAGAAGAACAACTACCAGACTTTTAGAAGACATCTGAAGGCAGCCCTGTTTAGGGAAGTTTTTAATGTCTGATGCTGTATTGTTTTTAATATTCGGTTGGAAGCCGCCCAGAGTGGTTGGGGAAACCCAGCCAGATGAGCGGGGTATAAATAATAAATTATTATTATTATTATTATTATTATTATTATTATTACATACCTTGCAGGGTTGTTCTGGGGATGTTATAAGGAGAGGTATATAATAGTTAGGACCCACCTTTCTTTCCTGTGGCCGTGAGCTGCTTTTAACGGTTTAAATATTGTGATTTGATTGTTATCACCTGCCCTGAGACCTTGGGGTTGACAGCAGGTAATTGGTGGTCGTGCTGAATAATTACGATGGGGATGATAAATTACACAAGTAATAAAAAGTGAGTAGGCCAAAATTTTACTTGGGTGTCATCAATGGAACAGGGTGCATGCCAGACTTAGGGATAATACCATATTTTTTGCTCTATAAAACTCACTTTTCCCTCCTAAAAAGTAAGGGGAATGTGTGTGCATCTTACGGAGCGAATGCAGGCTGCGCAGCTATCCCAGAAGCCAGAACAGCAAGAGGGATTGCTGCTTTCACTGCACAGCGATCCCTCTTGCTGTTCTGGCTTCTGGGATTCAGAATATTTTTTTTCTTGTTTTCCTCCTCCAAAACCTAGGTGCGTCTTGTGGTCCGGTGCGTCTTACAGAGCGAAAAATATGGTACATCAATGAGAACATAAGAGGAAATTTACATTTATTAAATTTTTGGGGGGTGTAGTCTTGGGTTCCTTTGCTCACTGGCCAAAAACAAATGTCTGCATGAAGCAATGTATTCCCGTTAGCAAGTCCTTTCCTTGGCTGTGACAATATTGAAATTGACAAAGCAGCCAATGGCACTTATGGAGATGTGATAATATCCAGGTGAAGTTAATGTAGAATAAATCAGGACCTGGGCAGAACGGTTGCTGGCCAGGGATATCCGCAGAGGCCAAGGAAGGTCTCAGGAAACAGGACACAGGTGCCAATATGGTCACTGCTTTGCAAGCTAGAGACATACCTTTCCCTGACATTGCCAGGGTTTGCTATTGCCAGGCCCAGACCCCATTTTTCCCTGGCTCACTGCCCCTTGGGTGCAATTTCAAAGTGAGCATCCTTTCCCTAAGAGGTTCTGTTCTGGCTCAGAAGGTCAAATGAGATTCTCCACATGTACTATTTTATTTCATTATCTATTGGGTGTTAAAAGGTAAAGGGACCCCTGACCATTAGGTCCAGTTGTGACCGACTCTGGGGTTGCGGTGCTCATCTCGCTTTATTGGCCGAGGGAGCTGGCGTACAGCTTCTGGGTCATGTGGCCAGCATGACTAAGCCACTTCTGGCGAACCACAGCAGCACACAGAAACACCGTTTACCTTCCCGCTGGAGCGGTACCTATTTATCTACTTGTACTTTGATGTGCTTTCGAACTGCTAGGTTGGCAGGAGCTGGGACAGAGCAGCGGGAGCTCACCCCATCATTGCAAGGATTCAAACCACCAACCTTCTAATCAGCAAGCCCTAGGCTTTGTGGTTTAACTCACAGCGGCTTAGTCCTGCTGGCCACATGACCCGGAAGCTGTACGCCGGCTCCGTTGGCCAATAAAGCGAGATGAGCGCTGCAACCCCAGAGTTGTCCGTGACTGGGCTTAATGGTCAGGGGTCCCTTTACCTTTTTATTGCGTTTATATCCCACATTTTCTTCCAAGGTTCTCCCTCCATCTCATTGAATCCTCACAACAACCTTGCGAGGGAGGTTAGTCCAAAAGGCAGTGATTGGTCCCTAAGGTCAGCCGGTGAGTTTCATGGCCAAGATTTGAGCTCTGGTCTTCCTCCCCTCTCACACAAACCAGTGATGGGGCTCATCTGACAGCAACAAGAATCTGAGCCTTTAGTGCATGGGTCGGCAAACTAAGGTCTGTGGGCCGGATCAGGCACAATTGCCTTCTAGATCCAGCCCGTGGACGGTCTGGGAATCGCCGCATGGATCGCCAGTGCGTGGATCACCAGTGTGCACATTCTTTCCCTCTCCCTCACACGGTGGCGCTTTTCTCCTCAGGGACGGAGCAATCTTGTCCCAAGCCAGGTGCCGTCGATGGCGGGAGTTGGCTTGCTTGCCTGCCCGCCTGCCTCAGCATGGCGGCGCTGTGAAGGGGGCGTGTGACGCAGGCTGCCAACTGCTGCTGTGTTTTCTTCCTGCTACTCCTCCCTCTCCCTCAGTCTGTCCTTCCTTTCTTTGCGCCCCTTTTCCACGCCGGTTCCTCGCGCGCTTTCTTCGTCGCCGCCTGCCTCCCTTCCTCCTTCATTCAGTGGTGGCTCCGACCTGGTGGAATGCTCTGTCCCATGAGACAAGGGCCCTTCAGGATTTAACCTCCTTCCGTCGGGCCTGTAAAACAGAGTTTTCTGCCTGGCCTTTAATTTGAATTCAGCCTGATCTTTTATTTCCCTTCTCTTCCCTCTCCTTATATGAAGATCACCCGCTCTGAGACCCCACAGCTACGTAATTCTCCCTTGGCTTCCTTGCTTGCCCAAGTAGGACCAATTCAGCCAGCTAGCCCTGGGGATTATCCAATGCTTATTTCCCCTAAATTGATTTCTGAACTTTGAATTTTATTGTTATTCATGTTTTTATTCTGTATTTTATTCTGCTTTTACAATCAAGTGTTTTAAATTTGTTGTTAGCCTCCCTGAGCTCGGTTTTGGAACCGGAAAGGGCGGGGTATAAATAAATTATTATTATTATTATTATTATTATTATTATTATTATTCCATCCATGGCGTTCTGGTAGGTTGTTGTGGTGGCCGCGGCCGCGGCTTGCAGGTTAGCAGACGGCTCTGTCTTCTTCTCTGCGGTGGCTCTCAGGAAGCAGCAGGAGCAGTAAAGGTAAAGGTAAAGGGACCCCTGACCATTAGGTCCAGTCGTGGCCGACTCTGGGGTTGCGGTGCTCATCTCACTTTATTGGCCGAGGAGCTGGCGTACAGCTTCTGGGTCATGTGGCCAGCATGACTAAGCCACTTCTGGCGAACCAGAGCAGCACACAGAAACGCCGTTTACCTTCCCGCTGGAGCGGTATCTATTTATCTACTTGCACTTTGATGTGCTTTCAAACTGCTAGGTTGGCAGGAGCAGGGACCGAGCAACGGGAGCTCACCCCATCGCGGGGATTCGAACTGCTGCCCTTCTGATTGACAAGTCCTAGGCTCTGTGGTTTAACCCACAGCGCCACCTGCGCCCCTCAGCAGGAGCAGTAGGTGGTGAGTAAAAGCTCCGGTGACACCCCGGTTCTCCTACCTCTGTCCGTGGGTCTTCCGCCAGGGCTGCTTCTTCTGTCTTCACCGGCCAACACAGCCTTCTACCCCGCCATGGCGCCTGGCTGGCTGGAGAAGCCCAACTGCGGCTATCGGGACGATAAGTGGGACAGCTAAAGCAAAGCATCTTCAGGCCTCTTTGCGGGTGGGCAAAAATTGTTCTTTTTTTTCTTTTCAAAATATAGTCCGCCCCCACCCCACAATGTCTGAGGGACAGTGGATTGCCCCCCCTGCTGGAAAAGTTTGCTGACCCCTGATCTAGTGGAATCAGCCCTACAGAAGGAAGAGAGATTCAGCCGGCAACCGCTGCTTTAACCTTCAGATGCCTGCCGGAAACTTATCTGTGCCGCTGAGCTTGTGTCGGCAATTAAGGAAAATGTATTTCCATAAAAGTTGGTTGATGGTAGGGATGGAGGAGAAATTAGTTTCAGTTAATCTAGGAAATTAACCCTCTCTGTAACAGCATGTGAAATGAAACACAGGCATCCTTCGAAATCTGCACCTATCCGAATTTTGCGATGCAGTCCCTCAACCAAACAAGATAATAATAAATAATAATAATAATAATAAATTATTTATACCCCGCGTATCTGGCTGGGCTTCCCCAGCCACTCTGGGCGGCTTCCAAAAAAATATTAAAATAGTGTAATACATCAAACATTAAAAGCTTCCCTGAACAGAACTGCCTTCAGATGTCTTCTAAAAGTCTGGTAGTTGTTGTTCTCTTTGACATCTGGTGGGAGAGCGTTCCACAGGGCGGGCACCACCACCGAGAAGGCCCTCTGCCTGGTTCCCAGTAACTTGGCCTCTTGCAGTGAGGGAACCTCCAGAAGGCCCTCGGCGCTGGACCTCAGTGTCCGGGCGAACGATGGAGGTGGAGACGCTCCTTCAGGTATACTGGACCGAGGCCATTGAGGGCTTTCAAGGTCAGCACCAACACTTTGAATTGTGCTCGAAAACGTACTGGGAGCCAATGTAGGTCTTTCAAGACCGGTGTTATATGGCCCCAGCAGCCACTCCCAGTCACCAGTCTAGCTGCCGCATTCTGGATTAGTTGTAGTTTCTGGGTCACCTTCAAAGGTAGCCCCACATAGAGTGCATTGCAGTAGTCCAAGCAGGAGATAACCAGAGCATGCACCACTCTGGAGAGACAGTCCGCAGGCAGGGAGGGTCTCAGCCTGCGTACCAGATGGAGCTGGTAAACAGCTGCCCTGGACACAGATTTGACCTGTGCCTCCATGGACAGCTGTGAGTCCAAAATGACTCCCAGGCTGCGCACCTGGTCCTTCAGGGGCACAGTTTGCCCCATTCAGGACCAGGGAATCCTCCACATCTGCCTGCCTCCTGTCCCCCAAAAACAGTACTTCTGTCTTGTACTTTTACAAGATCTGCATAATAATAATAATAATAATAATAATAATAATAATAGTGCATCCATATAATCATAGAATTGTAAAGTTGAAAGGGACCTTGAGGAATGTCTAGTCCATCCCCCCTGCAATGCAGGAATACGCAGCTGCCCCATACAGGGATCAAACCTGCAACCTTGCCGTTATCAGCACAGCGCTCTAACCGACCGAGCTATTCAGGATTAAGTGTTCACAAAAATGAAGATAACAGTGAAAATGCCATACAAAATGCATGATATTACGGCAAATCACTTGCAAAAGAGAAGGGGGGGGGGTGGAGTGCATATCAGTCAAAACTGCACAGAGGAATGTGTTTAGTTGGAGAAATCTGCCCGAAATTGGCTGGTGAATTTTCACGAGGTTAAAAAGGCAACAAACCACAAATTGCTGCAAAATGTGGAGAACTGGCTTTTGAATGGGAAACAGAGAGAATGGAGAGATCCTTTCTTAGCAGACGGTCTCTGATTTAAAATACGTTTGTGGGGCGTTTTGTTGTTGTTGTTTAAATAAAAACTGCTGTATATAGGTATAATGGTATGGGGTTGCTCGTGCGTAAGTTGCCGCCTCTCCTGGCTATGTTGCCTTGTTAAACCTTTCTGTCTGGACAGCCCTTCAATTCGTGGCTGCCTCAGTCGCTAGCAGAATCCGTCAGTGGGCGTTTCTTAAACCTTTTCCAACATAAAAGTTGTTTGACACCCAGTCTCCTCCTACTTTCTCTGCGTGGAAGTCTTCTGCGCAGGGAGGGCATGGGTAGCGGAGGACCCGTGCTCTCCCCGCTGGTGTCCGGTGAAGAGTCTGGGAGCCCTCTCTCCGATTCCCCCATCTGCCCCTCCTTATTCCTGGTGTTGCGCTGAATTGCTTCCCCATCTGCTGAGCTGCCTCTCTCCCTGCTGGGCCCTTCTCCAGCATCATTTGAGAGCCTTCCCTCCACCTCTAGCTCCGATGTCAGTTCCCTGACAATAGGTATTCTTGTCGTAAACTGCTTTTATTTTTTAGAAACGATATGGCAGCATATAAACAAATTCATAAATAAATAAGCGGGAGCTCTTTCTAACGGGTTAAATCTGGATCGCTTCATTTCTTTGATATTCTGTGCTGCAATGTCACTATTAAGTTGGGTGGGGGCTCGGTGTCTCATGTGCCTTGCCATATAAACTCTTAAGAAGAAAAGCAATGAAAATAATAAAACAAATGAAATAAAATAAAAAGAAAGAGACATGCAATGGCGTTCAAGGAACATTCCAGTCAGGCAGAAACACTTTGGGGTGTGTGTCCCCCCTCTTTACAGTCAAGTGGGGTATGGCATGAAATAAACAACAAATACAGCGGGTGCTCGGGTTGCAAACATGATCCATGCAGGAAACACGTCCGCAACTCGCAGCGCCACGTCTTTGCACGTGTGGGTTGTGATTCGGTGCTTCTGCGCATGCACAAAGCACAATTTAGCGCTTCTGCGCATGTGCAACTGCCGAAACCCGGAAGTAACCTATTCCTGTACTTCCAGGTTTCGGCACGTCCATAACCTGAAAAAACGCAACCTCAAGCATCTGTAACCCGAGGTATGACTGTAGCATCAACCTGGATAGCTCACTTGGTTCGAGTGTGGTGCTGATAACGTCAAGGTTGCAGGTTTGACCCCTGTTTGGGACAGCAACATATTGCGGGGGGTTGACCTAGATGATTCTCAGGGTTCCAATTCTACAATTCAAGGCCTCTAAGGAGGGTGCAGGGACGCGGGTGGCGCTGTGGGTTAAACCACAGAGCCTAGGATTTGCCGATCAGAAGGTTGGCGGTTCGAATCCCCGCGATGGGGTGAGCTCCCGTTGCTCGGTCCCAGCTCCTGCCAACCTAGCAGTTCAAAAGCACATCAAAGTGCAAGTAAATAAATAGGTACCACTCCGGCGGGAAGGTAAATGGCGTATCCATGCGCTGCTCTGGTTCACCAGAAGCGGCTTAGTCCTGCTGGCCACATGACCCGGAAGCTGTACGCCGGCTCCCTTGGCCAATAAAGCGAGATGAGCGCCGCAACCCCTGAGTCGGCCACGACTGGACCTAATGGTCAGGGGTCCCTTTACCTTTAAGGAGGGTGCAAAGCAAGGCTGGTGGGGAGGTGTTCTGTGGGAAAGTGTGTTACCTGGAGAGAGTCGTTAGGGTCATGTCAGAGAACTGCCATCAGCTCAGAGGCGAGAGGTGGAAGGGCACTTGTGTTATAGGGAGCTTCCGAAAATCTTGCGAAGCAGTTCCTCCTCCAGCGAGGAGGAAAGCCCCTCCTCCAGTGGGGAGGGGGTGCAGGGACCAGGAGATGCTAGGGAGAGCCTCAACACTGAGCCTGAGCAAACCAGAGAGGCGGGAAGTACGCCCCTGCCAGCGCCCATTCTGCGCAGTAAGCTTCGGCGCAGGGAGGGAAGGAAAAGGCTGGGGGTGACGCGACTTTTATGTTGGTACAACACTCCCAGATTCTGCTAGCAACTGAACCAGACATGAGCTTACTGTGCTGGTCCCGTGGGCTAACCAAGAGGCGAGGTCCAAGTCCAGTCCGAGGTCAAGGGTGCGGTGTGGAGGCTGTCCATTAAAGCTGAAGCTGGGTCCAAGGCAGGGAGTCGGGTGAGGCCAGGAACTCTGGCAGAAGAGCAGGACAGGGTGCAGGGAGGAACAGGCTACCAACAATGTTGCTCCCGCGACCTGGGACTGGGCTGGCTGGCTTTTATCTGCCCCGAGGCATAGGGCGGCCCCGGTCCACAGGTGACTCGCCTCTCCTGGCTTTAAGGTGAGCCCTCCTCCTGCGGGAACTTAGTTCCCTCTGCCTCTCTGCCCTGAGCCTCTGCAGCTCAGGAGAGGCTGGAGGGTTACTGGACCCAGAGGCAACCTCCGCTTCCTCTGACGGGGCTGAGAGTGGAGCACCTGCAGGCAATGGGTCCTCCATCACCTCAGGAGCCAGAGCAGACTCAGCTGATGCCTGCACCTGAGGACTCAGCACAGGTGAGGACCCTTCAGGCTCAGGCCCCAGCCCTGGCTCAGCTGGTTCTGGAGGCGGGGACTCCTGTGCAGGCTGGGATTCCTCAGGTTCTGCCTCCGAGTCTGAATCCCAGGCCATCACACTTACGACGCTCTTCACTGTAAATAGTTTGCACCTAAAATAAAGCCTGGAAAAGACAGGTCGGAGTCTTGCCTGTTTACTCTCGAGCAACCACACCCGCACCTGACAGGTCACATAGTTTTGGAGGGCCTCATTCAGACCCTGGGGGTAAGGCTCCCCACTCCTGCTGTCATGGCATTCTTCACTGGACGGGGCTGGACTAGACGGCTTTCAGGACCCCCCCTAACTTTTACAAAAGCTTCCTTTCCTTTTTGGGGGGAGGAAAACAGCCTGCTCTTGGGGTTAAGTTAAATTCCAAAAGGCCTCCGGAATCGTGCTCTTTTCCTCGGCTTTATTCACAGCGAACTGGGTCCCCGAGGAGCTAAAAAGCCACTTAAGCTGTCAGCTCCAATCTAGCGTGCATTTGAAGACAATCTCATAATTATATAAGCACGGCCGTGAAGATGCAAAAGGATGGCCTGCCATCCACGACTCCCCTTCTCCCGCAGCTGTCACTCAGGCGACTTGACAAGGAGAGAGGACCAAACAGCTTCGCCGGGCTTTTGTTTTTCGGCAGTTGATGAGCCGCAACGGCCTCTGCCAAGCTGGCGCCCTCCAGGTGTTGTCAGCTTCCAGACAAAACCAGCTCTAGTCAAGTGCGGCCATTTTGGAGCACGGGTCCCCTCAGTCTCTGCCAGCGCAGCCATGTTGGACCCAAACTCCCATCAGCCTCAATGCTAGGGATAACGAACCATGTCCTCGTGAAAATTCAGCCACATCTTAGTACAACTTTCTTCTCATATACATAGCTTTGCATTGGAGTCCACCCAACAGGCCCGTTTCTCTACAAGAGAACAGGGCCTTTTCTGCGGTGGCTCCCCGTTTGCAGAATGCACTCCCCAGGGAGGTTTGCCATGCACCTTCATTATACACCTTTAGGCGCCAGGCCCTTTTAAAATGTGTTGTAGATTTTAAAATGTGTTGGTGGGTTATCTTTGTTTACACACACACACACACACACACACACACACACACACTTATTGGTTTTTGCATATATTTTCCAAACAAAACATATCTCATCTCATCTTATACATCATTTTGGCTATTTTAGCATAAGACTTCCATCAACCACGTCTAATGATTTTCAAACCTCCTCTTTTAATCTTACATTTATTATCCTAACTATTACTTTTAATAATAATAATAATAATAATAATAATAACCCGCCCATCTGTCTGGGTTTCCCCAGCCACTCTGGGCGGCTTCCAACAAAACACTAAAATACAATAACATATTAAACATTAAAAGCTTCCCTAAACAGGGCTGCCTTCAGATGTCTTCTAAAAGTTTGGTAGTTATTTTTCTCTTTGACTTCTGGTGGGAGGGCGTTTCACAGGGCGGGCGCCACTACCAAGAAGGCCCTCTGTCTGGTTCCTTGCAACCTCACTTCTCGCAGCGAGGGAACTGCCAGAAGGCCCTTGGCGCTGGACCTCAGTGTCCAGGTAGAACGATGGGGGTGGAGACGCTCCTTCAGGTATACTGGGCTGAGGCCGTTTAGGGCTTTAAAGGTCAACACCAGCACTTTGAATTGTGCTCGGAAACGTACCGGGAGCCAATGTAGGTCTTTCAAGACCGGTGTTACATGGTCCCGGTGGCCGCTCCCAGTCACCAGTCTTTTAATAGTCAATGACTTAGAATCCATTCTCATAAATCCTTTCTGTAATATTTCATACAGTTCTTCTTACAAAACTTCTTGTAGTCCTACAAGCGTAGTCAGTTGATTACAATTGTCTTTCAAATAACTCTCATATTTACACCAATCTTGCAAGAATTTCTGGTCCCGCCGGTTTTGAATTCTCCCTGTCATCTTATCCAATTCTGCGTAGTCCATTAATTTCATCTGCCATTCCTCTTTCGTTGGTAATTCTTCTTGCTTCCATTTCTGTGCGATTGTTTTTGTTCTTATCATGTGTTTTATGCTGTGATTTTATGTTGTAACTGCCCTGAGACCTGTGGGTATGGGGTGGTATACAAATTTAATAAATGTAATAATAATAATAATAATAATAATAATAATAATAATAATAATTTTTGCAATTTTGCTCCTCCCAGCTAAGCAGTCTGTGTGTCTGTCCAAATTTGCCACACCCCTTTTTCCCCCCATAAGAAGTTGGAAGGGACCCCAATATCCAACCGCCTGCAATGCAGAAATCTCAACTAAAGTATACAGGGCAGGTTATTATCCTACCTCAGCTTAAAAACCGCCACAGAAGGAGAGTCCACCACCTTCTGAGGTCGTTTCTGTTCCACTATCAAACAGCTCTTGCTCTTAGAAAGTTCTTCTGAAGGAGGTGAGGACAGGTGACCCCACCTAGCCCCGAAGTCACCCCCCCCATCAGGCCTCAAAACTGTCCAAAATTCCTTTTCTCTCTTCTAAAAACCCACAGCTAAAGTTTTCCTCTGTTTTCTCACAAGATGCATAGGCAAAATGTTACTTTTATCAGTACGAGAAGGCTTCAAAAAGCTAATGAATAGACTCTGTCAGAGCAAGCCTGAGAACTGACTCTTATCTCACTCTGGTTGTAACACATCTTGGACACGCTGAACCACAAGGCTTCTCACACCCTTTTTCTGGGAAGGGCGCCAAGAGTCCAAAAGAGTCCCAAGATGGGAGCTTTCTGTTCATGCTCAGGGGAACTCATGGGGCAGAAGTATAGCATCCTCAATAGGAGTATAGCATCTAGATCAAGGGAAGTAATAGTGCCACTGTATTCTGCTCTGGTCAGACCTCACCTGGAGTACTGTGTCCAGTTCTGGGCACCACAGTTCAAGAAGGACACTGACAAACTGGAACGTGTCCAGAGGAGGGCAACCAAAATGGTCAAAGGCCTGGAAACGATGCCTTATGAGGAACGGCTAAGGGAGCTGGGCGTGTTTAGCCTGGAGAAGAGGAGGTTAAGGGGTGATATGATAGCCATGTTCAAATATAGAAAAGGATGTCGCATAGAGGAGGGAGAAAGGTTGTTTTCTGCTGCTCCAGAGAAGCGGACACGGAGCAATGGATCCAAACTACAAGAAAGAAGATTCCACCTAAACATTAGGAAGAACTTCCTGACAGTAAGAGCTGTTCGACGGTGGAATTTGCTGCCAAGGAGTGTGGTGGAGTCTCCTTCTTTGGAGGTCTTTAAGCAGAGGCTTGACAACCATATGTCAGGAGTGCTCTGATGGTGTTTCCTGCTTGGCAGGGGGTTGGACTCGATGGCCCTTGTGGTCTCTTCCAACTCTATGATTCTATGATTCTATGACTCTTGAGGAGGAGGAGAAAGGGGGGGGACTGAAGGGGAATATATGCTCTGTGCAAATGGCTGTGAACTCATGCTTGTTTTGTGAATCTATCACACTTGCTCCTTCTACCAGCCTGGATTGGTAGAAATAAAGCTTTTTCTCTGAAACTATTCCTTGAGTGTCTGTTGACTCCCATTTTCCCTGTCCCGGGAGCAAAGCTCTTCTCACCAGAGGCTAAAAAGGCTACACTTCCTTTTTTATGTATGTTATTTATGCTTTTCAGGTTTGT